ACACTAGTTTTATAATAAATGGATCTGAAATCAGACTCAAGTCAGAGCTAAGGCTCTCTTCAGAGTCGAGAAAAGAAAGCTTAATAATTTTGAACCAAATGCACAGCATAAAACTTCAGGTGATCTCAGTGGTGGGGCATTTAAAATTCTTATATTCTAAACCTGGCACCACATTTCCCCTCTGTGATCTGGCTGCCCCAGCCTAACACCAGCAGCCTGTGCTCTGCCAGCACAGCTGCAGAGGAGTTCTTTCACTCTTGAGGTGCAAACCCCAGTGTTAATCAGGCCAGCATGGGGTGCAAAACATCAGCTGCCCCCAGATACTGCTCAGATGTGAGAGAATTCCCTTCCTAAGGAAGATTCTTTGGACTGGGACGCAGGTAGGAGCCCAAACCCATCTCTCCTGATTCCCTCCCTGGGTTGAAAAATGCTTCAGATATCTCTGAAGTTCTCTTCTGGCCAGAATTTTCTCTTATCTAGGGGCCAGTGAAAGTTCTGCACAAAGACACATTCTTCTTTTTTTTTGCCTTCAGGCATATTTCAGCTTTTTTTCTTTTTTTTTTAAGGGCTCATCCATCAAAACACAGACAATCGTAGACGTGACTATCTTGGCAAGTCTGTGTGATCATTACAAAAGGGGAGTGGGAGATGATGATGACAGCTGTGTTTTTTGGAGAGAGAGATGGGAATTTTAGGTCTCATTTGATTCTTCACTTTTACTGGCTTTTGCAAATGGCAGGAAGATTGCAACATCTTCATTCCCAGAACAATATCAATTCTGTAAAGCCTCAAATTTCACAGAATCACTTTTAAATTCAGATATCATTCCCAGTCACTATACAAAGGATATTAATGCTGGGATTCAACTACAGAATGACATCAACCAAATTAATTTTCTACCCTTGTATCACCATGTTCTCCATGTCCTGAATCTTGTCTGAAGTACTGAAGAATGAAAATTAATTTCTTATGGAGGGGGAATGGCTGCAAGAAATATTGCAGCAATTAATTACTGTAGATTTTGTTCTACTTGACCAAGACATTTATATTTTCTTAACACTTAATTGATGCTGAATTTTTAAGTAATGGAATAAGGAGAAGCTGAAGTGATATTATGTAGAATTGGATTATGCTCCCCTTCTTCCTCCCCATCATCTGGGATGCTTGTTCACATTTTAAAAAGGAGTTTCACAAGGTTAAAACTTATGGAATATAACATGTAGATCCTTGAGAAATAGGTTCTGGTTTTACTCAAACATCAGTAAAAATGGAGCATGCTGAAAACACAAAAGGCATATTAAATATGCAATAAATAATGGTTGAAAATTATGATTGACTTTTAAATTATAGCCAAAAAAATACTAGATCTTCAAAGGGTCAGTTTGAACTTTCCTCTGTTACCAGTTACATATTGAAATTAGAATGTAAGTTTCAATATATTCTTCCCAATGCTGTCTGCACATGAAAATAAACTCACATTATGTAATATTCTTTCACAGCTGATTTTACCTTTTATCACATGACCATCAGAAGTGCATTGGGCATACATATGCTTGGGTTTTTACATATCTGGATTTTTCATGCTGTAAACGAGCAGCAACAACTCTGTTCTTATCCAAGCATTACAAACCATTGTCACCAAGCAGTCCTCCACAGCCAGTGGTATTATAGGCCTTGGTTTTATACCTGACTGACCCTTCATGTTTGGCGAAGCAGAAATCTGTGGTCAAACTCATCCAAATGTGGGGATCAGCAGCAACTCTCTGTGTCTCACTTCACAGGACACCATGGAATTTCTATAAAGGGACCATATCCTCTGCAGAAAGAATAAGCAAACCCTTTGTCAGCTCTGTTCTCCCAGCAAGAAAAACTTCCAATTTAGAGCAGGTAAATAATAGTTAACTATAATCTCTAGGTCTGTGTATTTTGAGGATAATAAACCCTAAGCCTGGATAAATCTCCATGGGAAGCATAACAAGACCAGTCCTCACCTGTTTCTTGCCACACAGGTATGACACCCAGATCTGGGACTATTCACAACTTGTGGTCCCTTGTGAGCCAGTTCTGAGTCCACAGAACTGCTCCAGCACTGGTAGGGTGAGTCTGGCTGTGGTAACTGCTCAAGGCAGTGAAAATCCAAGTTTCAGGCAATCATACCTTTTGAGGCACTTTCCAAGTTTCTAATCCCTGATTTTGCTATCACAAATTTCTTGGTGTTTCTGTTGACCTGTACAGGCTGTACCAAGATGCAGAGCATCGCAGAGCTTCCTTTGCAGTTACATCAGTATTGCTAGCCAGAAAGAAAGCTCAATATCAACTGAGCAAAGCTACATTTTCAAAAAGGTCCTACATTTCTGGACACCCTGAGCAATATGCTGAAGTCCCCAAACTGTGTTTAGAGCTAGCATCACTCAGAGATGATTGACATATGTGAAAAACTGGCATACAACAGGGACTAAAACTCAGAAGTTAGTTTCAAAATATCTATGCAATAAGACCAGATTTAAATTCAGGTAAAAAGTGCTTGGAAGGGCTAAAATGCAAGGTTAATATGAGTGCTCATTGCCATGCTTAATGCACAGAGTGCTATTTCCAGTGGTGGTCTTTCCCTTCCCCAAACAAATTATTGAAAGCGACATTCCAATCTGACAGATGTTTAATTACATATGAAACTCTGCTGAAATCAAAAGCAGATTGAGTGCTTCTGCAGATAAACAGAAATATACTGATCTAATTCTAACAGCAGCAGCAACATATTTCAATATTGGAAGGGTGCAAAGAGAATACCTAATGAAAAGTTAAGGATTTAGAAGAAACTTCACTGATAGGTTTATACACTATGGTTTTTCCTCATCTGAATCATTTATAGAAATTGACACTGCTCTTATAGATATCTGATAATTTATCTACATTTAGTGCAGGTCTTGCATTCAGTTTCTTTCTAAGTAGTTTCAAGCCCAAGGTTCCCCTTTGAATTCTGGTGATAAAGTTCAAAGTAATTCCAATTTAACTTTCAAGGTGTCAGTTAAACTTATAATGAAGTCATAATTTTTGTTTTGATGAGTTTAAAAATAAATTTTGTGACCAGCCTCACACACTGTCTTCTCAGGTCTCTATTTCCACTGCTGTTAAAATGTCTCCTGTCTTGGTCTTGTCATACTTAGGTATTGATCTCATTGTCTGGAGGTGAGATCTGCTGTGGTTTCTAAACCTCCATGTGAGGCTAACAGGTATCACACAGGACCTCTGTCAGGACCTGGGTGCTTTTAGAACAGGAGCTGGAAGTCTTTTCTAATGATGCCTGATTACCCTGTTCAGACAATCAAATTTCACTCTTCTTTGTGAAATGGGGCAGAATAAATAAACTCCCACACACACATAAGATTCACATCTGAGTTCTTAATTTTGGTTAAACCATGAGGGGTTTCTGCCTAGACACTGATGGTGAGACATTAGTGAAAGCAAATTACCATAACCATCAGTCAGAATTTATGTTCTGATCCAATAAAAATGAGAAAATTTTGCTGTTGAAGGCTCCTTTTCTCTGGACCCATACTGTGATTTACCAGCTATGATATATAGAAGCTGAACCATTTATACCAGAACACAGAAATGATGTTACCCCTGCAAATATCTCATTAAACCATGCGCGTACTCTGATGAAAAATAGCTTTTGCAAAATCACATACACAGGCCACTCTGTCAGGATCATGGATAATCCTAGGAACACTCAATAATCACTGGCAGGATTTTGCTTTATAATTTACAAATATCCCCTTGGGAATTTTAGCTCTAACATGCAATGGCTCTACTTCAGGAAGGGTCACAAGGCATTTGTGACATTGCTCACAATCCTTCTTGCCTCTTTGAATTTAAAAATGAAAGAGCTGAAAAAATAAACCAGGTTCAAAGCTATAATATCACATGGGAACTTTCCTGAAAACTCCCCTCCCCTAGCCCACACCAGAGCTTGCCTAATGTAATTTTTGATATTTAAATGAAGTAGAAACAGCATATTAAATATATAGATATTGACGAATTTGTGTTTTCCAAGGAAACACCTGGAAGCAGATGTTATGTTCAGTCCCAAAAAGGTGTTTCTAATGTTTCAGTGAAAGCAAAGGAGGACCAGCAGCTCTCCAGGCAATGCCACCAACAGGGCCCATTTGTTTGTTTGATGTTGGTTTTATAAACATGCATTCACCCTTTTTTTTTTATAGGCAATTACTTTTTAGTTTCAAGGGGAGCTTTGGTTTAATTTCCTTATTTGGTACATATGGAAGAGCTGCCTAAAGCACTAGGCAGGAACTTTTGACATTTCTATAAAAACCCAAGTGCAATCAATAGCTAGATATTGAGGTCAGAAAAGTAGCTACTGAAAAAGTTTAGTTAGTTACTGTAGTTTGCACAAAGAAACCACTTTTCATTTAAATCCACAGACTTATGATAGAAGCTAGTGAAGGGCTATAGGGATGACATGATGTCAAAACAAAAATAAATTGTCAGTATAAATCCAGGGAGACACTGTCACAATATCAGCTTGAAACAAAATGACACCAATGCAAATTTTATAAGAAACAACTTTAAGATGTCAAGACACTGGTAAATTGATGTCAGTTCAGGTCTGCAGGGAGACTGTTAGGATTAAGAAAGAAAAACCTAAACAAACTAAAAAGCATTCCCAGACTAATGGCTATAATAGGCATTTCTAATTTTGTCAGTTGAAGTTAGTTGTAGCAACACAAACATGCAGATACCATAATTATAATGTAAAAAAAAAAAAAAACAAACAAAAAAAACCAAACCAAAAAAAACCCCAAACCACACACAAAACCAAAGGAAAATTTTGCTAAAAACATAATACACACTTGTTAACATTTTTTGTATGGTTAGGCACAGACATTTCCAGTTTTGACTGCTTCTATATTTAAATCCATAATCTCTGATGCTAGTTCAGTTGACTAATAAGAAATCTGGAAGCTTCTTCATGCAATACAAACCTCCTGTAGCTTTTTACCCATGCAGTATGCAACAGAATTTATGGTGAGTTGAACAGATCAAATAGACAGCAGAAACAGAGTTTGGCTCTTCCAGTCTCTCATTATCAGGCTTTGCTGGATCTCCTTGTCATCGTTTCACATGTCCTGTAATTCAGTATATCCTTGTAACTCTGAGCCTAAGCCCACTAGTGACCAAGAAGGCTCAGAAACACAAACAGATTTATTTTGAAAGTCTTACAGGGTTTTCTAGGAGTCTTTTGAAGCACTGTTTTTGAGCAGTGGGATGTTGGGGGCAGTTGTGAGAACACTTAATGCCTGGCATCTCTTGAAGTCATTTACATTCAGGCAAAAGTGGGTGGAAATTCTGCCATGTGAAAGCGACATTTGCGAATGTGTAAATGACTGCAGAGCGCTTTTGGAGCAGTCACAACCAGGGCCCTGCTCAGCACTGTGGTGCTGCCATGTGCAGCATTAACCTTTACCATGTTCTGCTTTCCCTGCACACAATAACAGCAGATCCTTGTCAGGGGGTGGTTACACAAGATGGTGCATATGCTGCCAGGCTCCCAGCCCCAGATCAAAAATACATGGCATGTAGCACGGAACTATCTATGCTCATTCTCTATTCTAAATTCATTTCAAATACTTTAGGTGTACATCTGCCTCTGAAGACTTTTTGGCATAAATCCTGCATTTTAGGCCCTGGCTACTTTAAAATAGAAACTATTATGCCACTAGGACCAAAGTGAATCAGGTTCCAACTGCCTGAAGTTCTGATAGACCACAGGTGCTCTATTTATCATCAACGTGAGCTCTCTTGAAATCAAGCACATTCTGAAAACACATTTTGGTGTATTTTCAGTCATACAAACCTAAATAATAACAAAACCCACAGGCAATAATAATAATGACACCTTTAAAATCATTAATTCCTGAGTTTGTGTTTAGAAGCTGACTGAAAATACCACAGGGCCAGATTTCAACACCTTCCATGCTGGAGCCTATCTGAAGTGAAACCATTGACGTCAGTGGAACGATTCCAGATTTATAGCTGCCAAGTTATGCACATCTCTGTGTGTGTCACTTTATGTTAGTTATTTAATGCATTGATTTGCATACCATAAGCAATTTGCATAGAACCAAAATCTGTATAGGCCAGCATGGAGCCACACCAACATACCAGAAGAGGGGAGGTGAGCAAAGCATCTGGAAACTGGGGTGAAGGTGTCAGTGGCTGTGTGCAGTGAGGATGAGGGTCTGTGGCTGCCTTGGGGGCTGATGCTATGACTACATCAATCAAACTGTGAGACACTGTGCCTTTCACCTGCCATCCTTGTGCATAGAAGTTGTGCCCAAAGGTGCCACTGCATTTCCTACCCAGGGCACAGCTGGGAGAGGGGACTGGAGGCTGATGCAGCAGGAAGAGAGGAGTCGGGAGGTAGGAGGGATGCTGGCCATGTTTTCTGGTGAAAACATCACTTGGTGGCTAACACTTGAACTGCCAAGTTAAATTTGCAGCCAGATGAGAGCAGGCTCATGTGAAATACACATGTGAAAGATATAATGAAATATACATGGACTTGCTAAGCCCACAGATGTGCTCCAGGGTAAATGGAAAGAGAATTTCGCTAAAATTGACATGAATCATTGACATAAAGGAAACTATCATCAGGAAACTCTGAGGTTATCAACAAAATCTTAGATACTCCCTGCTCAAAGCACAAAACTCAGGTATTGATCCTTTGACCACTTCCTAAAAATTGCAAATCTAGTCTGGAGGAACTATAAGAATTTTACTTTGAAGGGTTACCCAGAAACTTATTTTGCATCATTAATATTGTTAGTCTTCCAGGACGAAAGTAATGTTTACCTCTTCAGAAATATCTCTGAGATTAATTGCCAGCTGGCATTTTCCATGCATACACATCCACTCAACACCATCTGGGGTCCTTGAAGGGCAAACTGGGGAAAAGTGAAACTCTGCCAGGTTCTCTGGCTCCCTGGGTGCTCAATGCCTGCTAATGCCTACATTTTTAGAAAGAAATTCCTGCTTCTGTGCAAATCTAAATTGGTGGCTCTTAGCAGCTTGGATTCTACAGAACTTCATCAGACCCATCCTTGTCTCTAAATGTCCTCAGTGGCTTTGAGGATGCTCTTGGAGTTGCAGCCCTGCAGCCACATTCATTTCAAGCCCCAGTTAAGGTAGTTGATCATTGTGAGAAGCAGAAGAGCAGCCCTGGAATCATGCTTCAGCCTTGAGAGATTCAATCCCAGCCGCTTTCCCACACACTTCTGGTGTTGCTTTCTTTGCTGGCACACAGAAGTTTTGTATTTTTTCCAGGCGTCCTAATGTCAGGACTTAATTAAAATGCAGAGATGCTGCCTGTTTCAAAGGCTAAGTAACCAGACCATTTTTGTTAGGAGACTTGGGGTGTCTGCAGTACAACCGCTCCAAAAAACAAAACCTCTCCAAGGAAGTTAGCCTAGTGATACCATGGAATCCCAGCTTGCTTTTCCCTTAAAAATATAGTTTGTATAATGAAAAGATGGTGTGTCCTTAGACTCTGTCTTCCTTGGGGACAAAGATGTGGTCTTCACTCATTTTAGCTAGCAGAAATTAGTTCATTTGCAGCAAAAGCTAGGAAGGCAACAGTTTAATCTGCAGTTTTAACAAAGGCTAAGTGTTCATTCATGAAGCAGCTCAAGGGGCAGAGATGCAGTCACCCCATCACTGCTGCAGATCCCCTGCTCTGGTCAGACCTTTCTGCTATTGATTTAGTGGGTTGAAGTAAAGTCAGTAAGCTCCAGATTTTAACTAGATTTTCTAGTCTTTGCTAGAAACATTTATTACCTCCATTTCTTTTTTTTTTTGGCCTACTTTTAGACAATCTGCATTTGTTTGGGGGGACAAAAAAGACACTTTTTTCTAGCTGAAGGCAAGGCCTTTCAGTGCAACCCCCTTCCAGCAATGGTTAAAGGGGAAAATCCAATTTTTGCAAATTGCTCCTGCAGCAATGTGTCACCCATTATTATTCATTATGAATAAACTAAGGTTATTTAGTTTTATAAAAAAAAAAGTGGAGCTCAGCTGTGGCTTTCAGTAACTGTCATGAGTGAATTGCTGTGATGATGGCAGATTTCAAATGGTCAGTTCTCTTTCTCCCACTGAGATCTAGATCAGTTAGTCAGCTTGTTAGTGATAAACATTTATAAGCAACCAAACAAACCTCAAACAAAGCCCACACACAATTTTTGCATCAGAACCTATATTTAACTTTAAATGGGTGATTGGCTGCAGTTTCTGCTCTTTCTCTATTATTCTGCTTCTCTGTGTTTGTCTCCATCTATCGTGTGTTGTTGCATTTATTTAAGTTCTTTTCTTACGAAAATATTTCTAATCACAAAATCACTCCAATGTAGCAAGCTAATTTAAAGCCACTCACAGTACTTCAGGTAGTAAAGTGATAGTGGTTCTCATAAACTCTGTTTTTGGTCTGGTCACAGTTCTGCTCCAGGGCACCTGGAATACCATTTCAATACTTCTAAAGATAAATAGAGTTCTGTCAATAAACTGAAAATTGCTGACCTTGTCTTGTTCATCAATTTAGGCATTGAAAAAATTCTGCCTCCTGGGATTGGCAGTGCTTTTCCATCTGAACTGAAAAATGCTAAGCCTGCCATATTTAATGACAGGCCCGGGAGGGTTAATGAAAGAGCAGAAGTGGCATTTCACCTTGACTTGCAGCTGCCCTATAACATTGCCTAAGGGTCCAGCTATGTGTTAGCTCCACTGAGCAGTACCAGGCAGGAGCAAAGACCTACAGAGAATTCTAACAGGATATCCTCAATTGCCCTGCTTCTTGACCTGCTTGCCTTTGTGTGTGTGTGAGTGTTTGTGTGGAACCTGTAACCAATGAAGCCTCAGGGATTTTTGTCTTCATTAGTTTCAAAAGCTTTGGAAATGCTGAAAAACTGAGCAAGAAAGAAAGAAATGCTGCAATGAATGACTAAATCATCTTCTATCTTATGCCTGGACTCTACCAGCATTTCAGAATTTGCTTTGCTTATTGATAGCTTCATTTTTATTAGCTAAACATTGATGATTAATCTAGACTGGTAATTAGAAGTGATCCTTTTACACAGAGGCTTGGATTAAGAGCTTTTGTGATTTCGTGGACTCTAGTTTGTGTGAATGTCAATTTGATCCTTTTAGCATGTTTATGCTAAGTATCAGTAGGCTCCTGGGATTCGTGGAAGTGCAGTGCTGAACCTCTCAGATGCTGAGCAACAGCTGGGGTGCCGCTTCCGTCTGAAAGGCTTTCTTCTCTTCTCACTAATAGAGGATCAAAAGTCATCCCTTCAATTAAAAACTAAAGAAAGAATCTCATTCTTTGGCATTTTATGTCTAATTAAGAATTTTAGTGGGAAATGTACAGCAGTGCTCACTGATTAATTTATCAAACACAAAAAACCCCCTCTCCTCTACCAGTCCAATTAGCCAGGCATTTTATATGGCTGGGAGATTGAAACACTATTACTACATGGAAACCAGAGGCTCTTTGCATTTGAAATTGTGTGGTAAAGAGACTGAAAAATTTCTTGTCTAATACCCTGCATACTTAGGGCCTGATCCTGTGAATTATTGAAAATCCCTGCTAAAAAATGCATGGTCTTCTGAAGGTCCATTCCAGTATGATATTCAATATCCTGAACACACAGGAGCATCAGGGAAAAGGAGAGGATGCTGAATGCTTTGGAAAATAGAGCATTTACTGCATAAAATGCCCAAAGGGAAGCATAGCTGCTGCTCAGACGATCTCAAGCACTGTGGAACATAATTCATGTGTTAGCTGCTGCCTTCTTACCTTGTGCTGAGATCTCTATGCATTTCAGAACCTGGGATTGATCTCTCCTTCCACAAGCCACCTGTCAGAAACAATGTGGAAATATATTATCAATCATTTGTCACTCCCCTCTAACACAAGGATCATGAATCACACTGTTTGTCAGCTCATGTCCCTTGCCTATACATCAGAAGGGGGTTATTATCATCTCACTTTTCCTCTGCTGAGAGCAGGTGTGAGAGCCACAGCATCCAGACCACTCTCCCTGTTGCATGAGTGTCTCCCAGGAATACACTGGGAAGCACATTGCCTTTCATGTGTTCTTCTTTATTTGCTTATCCTCCTTCTCAGGGTAGTGTTTGGTGAATAGCTTTGTGTTGTGGTATATCTTTTTTTTTTTCACATTATATTCTGATATATC